GGAACATCTTCAACCAGGTGGCTGAGACCTGGCGATGCCCTTGTTTGCAGACAAAGGCAGACAAGGCATGGGGGACATGGGGAAGCATGCCCGATGCCCCCTCTACTTCAGAGAGCTCAGGCTTGCTGTAGTGACCTCTTGTCCACCCCCGTGACAGCTGGGCAAGACACCACTCCCTGTGCCACTTTGGGGTTCTTCCATCTGGTCACTCACAAAGATGACAATCAGATGACCTGGCGCAATGGCCAGGCTCTGGGACTGCCGTGCCTGGAGATGTCCTGCTGTGTACACCGTGCGTCCCCTAGGATTTAAGCCGACTGTGTTCCTGGCAGCTAGGAACATCGGAAAAGACACACAGTTTCCCAAGAGGGAGGGCTGAGCCCCCTCCCCAGCCTCATGAGGGCCCAGACCCAGGTAAACTTGGGCTGAGAGCCTGGTCCAGCTGCACTTGGGGGGGGGGTGTCCCTGCCTGCACGGGTAGGTGTCCACTTAAGATTCTTCCCTGCTGCTGGGGATTTAGCTCAACGGCATGCCACTTGCCTGGAAAGTGTGAGGTCCTGAGTTTGATTCCCAGTACCCCCCCAAAAAAGAGATTCCTCGTGTGGGACACTCTTAACGGTTTGACAGCTAGCCATGTCATTACCTCTCTTTTTTTTTTTTCCCTATACTGGGAATCAAACTCAGGACATTGCCCTTACCAGGCAGGCACTGTGCTGCTGAGCTATATCCCAGCCCCATTACCTTTTACATCAAGTCTGAGCCTCCGTCTTGTATCTCCACATAAAAGTGTTGACTGAGCCTAGATCCCTGAGCCTCCAAACTCCAAGGCTTTTGTCTTTCACTGCTCCCAGTGGCGCAGAACACCTCTATGGAGCAGGACAACAAAGAAGTCTGCTGCCCAAATGCCACCCACGTTTCCCCTTTCGCCTGACACAGCTCCCTGTCAGGGTATCAGTGTGGGGGCGGCTCAGGACACAGCAGGAACGACACTCTCCAAAGGCCCGGCCACAACTTCCTGTTCAATCAGCATCCCCCGACATACTGCTTACGAAGGCCACTCCGGCAGAGCTCGGCCGCCGCATTTGCTGGGGCCACGGCGCCTGCCGCCTGCCAACAGTGGAGCTGGCTACGGCTGCTGTTGGCAGGGACCCCAGGACAAGGTCACCAGCTCCTCACACTCGGTTGTGCTGCTCACCAGGCCCGACAGGACTGGCAGAGTCCAGGGCCGGCCTCAGTGTGAAACCCCGCTGCCCACGCGGGGCGGGAGGGGTGCTCCGGAGCTCCACCTAATGAAGTCCTCATCGGCTGTGGGACTTGGAGGCCAGGAGCAAAGCAGAGGGCCCGACTGGCCTCCGCAGAAGAGCCGGGCGTCCCTCCCATGGACAGCCGGAGCATTCTCCTTTCTAACGCCCCTCTCAGGGTGTGGGGCTCCATAACACCCAAGATGACCAGCATGGATCCCTCTTCTGTACCGTGCGTCTCTGGGCAGATTCTGAAGGGTCTGGGTTTGGAGGGCCTGAACTGACGTGGCTTGTCCTCCTCCCGCCTTCCAGAAAGGGCAAGCAGCACGGTGACCTTCGTGAGTGTAGGACAGCAGGGAACGGTAGGGCCTCTGTCAAGGGCAAGGACACAAACCAGACCTCGAGCCGCGCAGGTTCAGACGCAAACATCGCACGCTCAGGTCGAGAGGGTCCTGTCAGATGGGGAGCCCTGGGGCTTTCTGAGTCTTCAGGTTGCCTGGGGGAGGACAGGCCACAGGAAGACACGCACACACAGCTGGGGGCACCATTTCCCAGAGCAGCAGAGGACAGAGGGGGAGTGCAGTTTGAAGAAGGAGGGGGATTTTTTTACAGCAGAGGACAGGTGATCAGAAGGCTGTGACGCATCTCACCACCCCGCGCCCCGGCCAAGAAGGGCTTAACTTTATGTTTGTTGCGTGCCTACCTGTTTCGTCCGCTGCTCCTTGCACAGTGTCCTTGTGGGGACCACCAGGTGACAGGGAGGTGACCCCTGGCTCGCACTGGTCCCTGTGGAGGAGGGACTGGCCAGGGCTCTATGTGGACGGAGCCCTGGGAGGTGCGGGTGACAGGGGAAGAAACAGCCACCAAGAGTGTGAGAGACAGATCCTCTCTCCAAAACTGTCCTGAAGCAAATGTCCCACAGCAGGCCACCTAATTTAGTTATGCGGACCTGTCAGAAGCCATTGTCCCCCGAGAAGGGAGAGAGTTATTCCTTCTCAGTTCTCCCTTCATCCTCCTGATTACATCAAAGAAAAGACCTCCGTCGGCGCTGGGCTGTCTCCACTTCCGCAGGCGCCCGCCCTTCGCAGGCAGCAGCAGCTGGACTCTGGTGATGTGTTCTCCCTTTCCTCCCGTTCACTGGGGGGTGTCTTTGATTTGCGTAAGGTGGTGAGAGGCTGGGATTTTCACGGATGATGGTGATTTAAAATACCTTTCAAAAGGTAAGTAACTCAAGAGCTGCCTGAAGAAGTAGCAGTGGTGGGGGTGGGAAAGCATGGCAGAGAAGTGAGTGGGGGGCTGCTGGCTGGGTTCACTCCGCTTCAGAGGACTGGAGCGTGGGGCTCTGGGCTGAAGGGCAGTGCCCAGCGAGTGGGCTGGCTGGTTACCCCGGGCTTCGTGCCACTTTTTACAGGAAGTCCTCCTGGACGCCCAGCTCTGGAATCATCTCTCTTCTGACACACTGAGATTCCAGCTCCAACTTTGTCCAAACCCAGCTAGGTCATCAGAGGTCACAAGGGCCATGCTTGCAGGGGAGGGGAGGGGACCTTCCACAAGCTGCAAGGTAGGGGCTGCGTTTAGTGGTGGCTACGCAGGAATGTGGGCTCAGCTGCAAGAAAAGTTAACAGTGGCAACCAGGGTCCACTGCGCCTGAGAGGCAAGGCCAGCCTCCGCCCTCAGGTGACACAGAGAGCAGCTTCCAGGTGGAGATGGCTCCCAAGATGCAGAGCCCTCACACCGGGTCCCTGGAATGACAGGACAGCCTGTGCCAGCCCTGCGGTTCCCTAGGAGACCAGATCTCTCGCCGGAAGGGTGGGGCCCCAGGAATCTCCAGCTCCCCTGCCTCTGGCCGAGGGCCACACAGACCTAGGACAGAGTAAATGAGAGGACCAAAGGGACAGGCGTTCCTGTCCCTCCCCCCGGGACAGCAAAGCAGGAGCTGGGGAGATGTTCACACTGCAGCCGCATGCCCGAGGGGTGCTCAGGAGGGGCCCAGGCGGGGACAGCAGGCCTGGTGGGAGAGTAACCTCAGGAAAGGGGGACCAGCTGTACCCGGGAGGAGGGACCCGACGGCACACCGGCCCAGCGTGAACTGAGCTGTCTCAGGCGCTCACTTGGAAAGGTGGGCAGAGCGTGGAGAGCCCATCGCAGGCAGGGCGGGCCCCGGAGCGGGAGCAGGCGAGGGCAGGACCCGACCGCGAGTTAGGAGGAGGCCCAGTCCTGCAGGAAGAGCTGTGCACCGAGGCCGCGGTGGGTGGGTGGGGCGGCAGCTGAGGAGGAGCGGGCAGAGAGGAGCTGCGGACTCGAAGTCCGGCCTTTCTCAGGAAGGGCGAAAGTTGGTCTTGGGGTAGCTCCGGAAGGCACCCCCAGCAGCGCCCGGGTCGGTGGCGCCCCCCGCAGGGCAGCGGCCGGCGCGGCGTCCCAGCCGGGGTCCGCTCTCCCGTCCTCCT